GGATCACTCATGACTGAGTAATGGGTTCAGTGGAGCATATGAGGTGCTGGGGATTAAAGCTAGGTCCAGTGTGCGCAAGGCCAAGAACCCTATCGGTTGTACTCTCCCTGGACCCCCAAAAAGATTTTTTAGTGTAATATAAATGAAAATACTGGTACCTTTAAGGATTTACCTTTAAAGGATTGATGCTTTGTTATAATTGTAGGGATAACAGATCTTGACATCTCATCACTAAGCTTCTAAAGAGAGCTTCCCCTTAGAGAACTAAGATAAAGTTGAAAATTCAATTTCTTTAATTACTTTGCAATAAAAGATCAGAGATGTAAGAATTACTACAAAAGACCACAATCAAATTAGTCAGTCAATAAGGATTAAATGGCTTTTGTCATAACATGAAGCAAAGCATTGATCTTCATTACATATTTCAAATACAACATAAAAAATGTTCCTCCCTCTTTAAAATATAACCATATACAGACTTACTGTCTTTAAGTGATTAACTTACTGCTTTGAAAACATTTAAAAAATAACAGCTTCACCAGGAAAAAAATAAAAGGGCTTCACTGTATTTGATAAAAAATAGTACACCTATTTCATGACATGACGTTAAATAAGCAAACTAATCATTATCACTGAAAATAAAAATCTCAGCAAAGGGGTTTAGAGATAGCACAGCAGATAAGATGCTTGCCTTGCAGGCAACTGACCCTAATTCAATCCCCAACAACACATATGGTTCCCCAAGCAATCCCTAAACACGAAACGTAGGTCCTAAGCATGGGGCCAGGAGTAAGTCCTAAGCATGACCAGATATGGCCCAAACACAAACAAAAATTTCAGAAAACATTTTCCATTGTGATTAAGTCAAATAATTATAAAACAGTACTTTTATTCAATAACCTATACCTTATCCTATCAACTTTCACCAATTAAATGTATGCAGAACACAATAACTGTATTGTTTAAACTGGAAATAATCCTAAAGGCGCATGGGAAAATTCTAGAAAACTATTATTTCCAGTGTTCCCCAAAGTCATAAAACTCCTCTGTGTTAACTGTGTATGTTTCTATCAATTCTAAATTTAAATTTATTATAGAAAAGATTGGCTACTTATGTATCAATTTCATGTCTTTCTCCTAGGCATAAATGTCCTAGACTCCAAGCATGTTATTTGAAAAACGGCATAAAGATAAAACTTCCAGTTCAAGGCTAGTCTCCAAACAAATTTCAAATGGATTCCCTACCCCTTGCCTGCAGAGCTAATAAGAAATGAAAGAAAACAGAACATAAGGATGATACAATGAGAAAGGCCAAGGCTTCTGAGTTCCTCAAGAGAGAAATTCAAATAGCATTAAGAAATATTATGTTTTCATGATATTCATAATAAGCAATAGAAAATAAATTATCAAACATCTGCTCCTGGCAGGTAGCCTTGAATGGTGATGGGAAAATTCAAAATAATGATGGTCAAAAGATGTAAAGGTGGTGAAATTGGTGTTGAAATAGTGAATGTAATCAATTAATGTGAATAACCTTATAAAAATAAAATTTTAAAAAAAGAGAAATGAAAATACATGAAGTTAAAAGTTTTTAAAAAAATTTAACAATATTATGCTTTAATACTCTTAGGATTTAAATTAAGACTTTGAAAAATTGGGTTGTTTGGTCTAGCTCTTTTAACTAAATACCTGAATAACACTTAAAAAGGATATAGTATAGTTCTATCTATATATGAAAAACTAGTGTTCCTCTAGGGCTGAAGTGACAGTACAGCAAGGTAGGGCGTTTGCCTTGCATGCGGTCGACCCGGGTTCGATTCCTCCATCCCTCTCGGAGAGCCCGGCAAGCTACTTAGAGTATCCCATCCGCACAGCAGAGCTTGGCAAGCTCCCCATGGTGTATTCAATATGCCAAAAACAGTAATACATCTTACAATGAAGATATTACTGGTGCCTGCTCAAGGAAATCAATGAACAATGGGATGACAGTGCTACAGTGTTCTTCTAAAATACTTACAAGATACATTTAACTTAAAATAAGAAATGTGGGGCTGGAGCAATGGTACAACTAGGGTCTATTAGTACAACTAGGGTCTTGGTTTGCACATGGCTGATCCCGGTTCAATCCCTGGCACTTCATATTTTACCCTGGACACCACCAGGAGTGATCCCTACACAAAGAATCAGGAGTAACCCCTGAGCAGTACCTGCTGTGGCCCCATAACAAAACAAAAGAAATGTAGTATCTAAAATTACCTCATCTATAAATCAGAATATAAAACCTGTCTTTCAAAACTATGAGGAAATCATGTGATAAACATAGGAAAAGAACAAATCCTAACATTTGAACTTTCCTCTGCAATAGACTTATCATCAGAGAAGGCAGAAAATCTGTAATTAAAATAAATTTATTTTTATTTAAAACTTTTTAATGGGGCCAAGGAGATAGTACAGCAGGTAAGCACCACTAGGAGTGATCCCTGAGCACAGAGCCAGGAGTAATCCCTGAACACAGCCCCAAAACAAAAACAAAAATGTCATCTTGATAATCAATCACTAGCTCAAAAAGGTATATTAACCCTGATGTTCACTGCAGTATTATGAAAGTCAAAATATAAAAATAACCTAAGGTTTATTGCCCATAGGCTTAAGGTAAGTTGTATCATATGTTCACAGTGGATACTAACTCAGCCACTTGGGGGGGGGAAAAAAACATTGAATCTTGTCATTTATTAAAACTTGAATCAATCTCGAAGGTATTACCCTACGTAAAATAAACCATATAGACAAACACTATGTGATTTTACCTCTAGATAGCAGATAAAAGACACAAAGCAGAGCCAGGGAGATAGTTCAAGCACTGAAGCACATGTAAAGCAAAGAAGAAATCAGGATTCAATCCCTAGCACCATGTGGGTCAGGAGAACACTGCAGGAGTAGTCCTCAAACACTGCCTACTATGAACCCCATCTCCCCCAAGAAAGAAAATAAATACAATAAATATAAACTCTCAGTACAAAGGGCTGGAGCGATAGCACAGCGGTAGGGTGTTTGCCTTGCATGCAGCCAACATGGCCAACCCGAGTTCGATTCCTCCGTCCCTCTCGGAGAGCCCGGCAAGCTAACGAGAGTATCTCGCCCGCACGGCAGAGCCTGGCAAGCCACCCGTGATGTATTTGATATGCCAAACACAGTAACAACAAAATCTCCAATGGAGACGTTACTGGGCCCGCTCAAGCAAAATCGATGAACAACGGGAGGGCCTTTACTTTACTTACTTACTTTACAGTTACAAAGAATAGACTGGTGGTTACCAAAGAGGAAGGGAACTTAAGGGTGGGTGAAAAGGATCAAAGGTGAATGCAGACTTTTGGTGGGGAATAAAATTGAGTATATACAAATGTCAAATATGATATTATCTGCCTGAAACTTATATACTGTGTTTAAAACAAAAAAATTAATGTTAATTCAATAAAAATGTCAATTGAAAAATTAAAACTAAGATGTCAAAAATAAAACAAAAACCCATCCTTTTAAAGAGTTAAAGGCATAGTCCATCAAAACTCTAATAACTCAGTATTTAATATATCTTTTAACTTTATTACTATATTATCTTTATAATAATTAAAAATATGAAAATTAAAAACTTTTATTTTTGTGGGATCCTATTATTCTTTCATTTCCTATCTACAATTTTCAAAAATTTACCACCTCTACATTTACTCTTCGTTAAAATATTGAGATCATCCTTATATATAATAGGAAGCATAAACATTCCCTTTCAAGGTGTTATATCAAACATTTCCAAAGAACACAATTTTCATTTCATTTCATTTCATCATCCTGTTATTCGTCGATTGGCTCGAGCAGGCCCCAGTAACGTCTCTTTCATCCTAGCCCTGAGATTATATTCAAGGCTATTTAGGAGAATGAGACCCATCATTGTTACTGGTATTTGGCATATTTGGTGCACCACGGGGAGTTTGCCAGCCTCTGCCCTGTGGGCAGGCTATATTCGATAGCCTGCAAGTTTGTCCAGAGTAGGAATGAGATAATGAGATATCATAAAAAGATGATTTGATAAGATGTCGCGCGGCCGCAAATGCGGCCGCGCGGTTCCGGGAGCTGCATTTTGTAGTCTCTGAGTCTTGGCCGTTGATGGGATTACACGGCGCCAGGGGGGATAGCACAGCGGGTAGGGCTTTCGCCTTACAAGCGGCCAACATGGCCGACCCGAGTTCGATTCCTCCGCCCCTCTCGGAGAGCCCGGCAAGCTACCGAGAGTATTCGGTATGCCAGACACAGTAACAACAAAGTCTCCAATGGAGACGTTACTGGGCCCGCTCGAGCAAAAGAACACAATTAAAACAATAAATCACTCTAGCATCTGCCATAAAATTTCTGAGATTGGGTTTTTATTTTTCAAAGTAGTATTTTCACTGTAGAGATACACACCACAAATGAAACACAACTCCTGAGCATTTCTGGGCGTGGCCCCACAGAAAAAAAGCCTGGGTTAACACAAAGTTATTCAATTTTTACGAGCTCACAAATCTAAAGTAAGTGCTTTGCATGTGATAGACCCTGAGTCTTATATTCTACACTGCATGTCCACCCCCAGCCAGCACCACTGGATGGGAACCTTGTGGTCCCCAGCACCAATGAGTCTAAGTAATAAACTATAAGGTATAAACAACTGAAATAGGTATTACCAGTTGTTGCTAGAGATAATCTGTTCAACTTTTAGTTTGCATAAAACCTTGCCAAAGAGAACATATAAGATTTCTCCTAAAGTTGACTTATTATCACCAGAGAAGACAGAAAAACTGTAATCAAACTAAATACCTATGATGCTTGTTGAATAGAATTCTAAAGAAAAGCTTTATAACTTAATGTATTTATTATCAAAATCTGGTTCCCACTTATTTCAATCATGCTTTTTAACAATGTTTGAAATTTTAGTCTATTTTTAAAGCAACAAATAAATAGACATAACATACTTAACAGATTTCCTTTTGCATCCCTAATAGGAGCACCACCTCCACCTTTTCCCCAGGGGTTATAACTTCTCATTTCAGCTTCTAATTTAGCTTCATATTCTTCTTTTTCTTCACGCTCTCTCTTTCTCCTTTCTTCTCTTTCCCTAATCTTAACAACAGAAGAAACACTCAAAAATGCTGGCAAATACTTTAACACAAAGGTAATTTTTAATAACTGTGTTTGTTTGCTCATTATCTATGGGGATCAAACTCAGGGCCTCACACGTAGAAACTCACAAATACATATGTAATACTTATTTTACAACATTTTGATGAGAGAAATATGTAACATACACCATACCACTATAGCTTTTTCCAGTAACTCATGTCACTTTAGACTAACACAACTCTTCCCCGCTTCTACCATCCTCAACTGCTACCTGAGTCACTGCCTCCCCATATTACCAGTTCTATGAGGATCAATAATAGCATCTTCTTATTTTCCTTTTTCAACTATCCTTTCATGGGATCTAGCCTGTCACAATCTATTCCCCATTCCTCACCAGATCTACTTTATACTGAGCAAACTACATTCCCAAATTCAGATTGAAGGCATAAAGCTCTTTGGAGGAATTCTGGATTACTTTAAACACAACTTTATAAAAGTAAAGATAAAGATAAGATAAAGGCCCTCCCGTTGATCGTCGATTTGCTCGAGCGGGCCCAGTAACGTCTCCATTGGAGACTTTGTTGTTACTGTGTCTGGCATATCGAATACTCTCGGTAGCTTGCCGGGCTCTCCGAGAGGGGCGGAGGAATCAAACTCGGGTCGGCCATGTTGGCCGCTTGTAAGGCAAACGCCCTACCGCTGTGCTATCACTCCAGCCCTCTGTGCTATCACTCCAGTGTTGTATGAAAGGAGAGAAGGTTAGCACTCCCCTTGACAAGGATGGAAGAGGCTTCGGCCTGCAACACGCATACGGTTTATAAAAGTATACAAAACAAATACATTCTTAACTATAAGCACAAAGTTTTTTCTTTAAAGAATTATAAAAAGACAAGGAACAAAATATATTTTAAAAGTTACTTTTAAAATCATAAGCATATACCTGAAAACTTTAGGCAACTTATAGCAAGGCTAAATAAATTATCATATACATAAATTATAATACTTCCTAAGATATTCTTTTGAGATATGCTCACTACCAATTTCATTTCCTGGCTTAAAATTTTCTCCCTTTGGCTGTCTGTAATAGTAGCATGGTAGAACTGTTCTCCCACTGTTCATTGATTTGTTTGAGCGGACGCCAGTAACGTCTCCATTGTGAGACTTGCTGTTACTGTTTTTAGCATATCGAATACGCCATGGGAAGCTTGACAGGGTCTGCCATGCGGGTGGGATACTCTCGGTAGCGTACCGAACTCTCCAAGAGGGACGGAGGAATCGAACCCGGGTTGGCCGCGTGCAAGGCAAACACCCTAACCGCTATGCTATCACTCTATAATAGTATAATGCTGAAAATCCCTTACTAGAATTTCACAATCTAGCACAGCTAACAAACAACTCCAGTCTCTTCTCTCACAGTAATTCCATTCCCTGAATATACCAGAAATTCTAACATACAGCTCAAACAACTTGGTAATTGTACAACATTCAGCTCAAATACCAAGAATCATGTGAAGGCCTCCTAACTGCCCAGCCAATTACTCTCCCTATTCTATTTCTCCAACAGCATTCTTGTCTATTTATATCGAAAGTTAAATTGAATTATAAGTAACAAAAACACTTTCCCCACTTTTTGAGTTCTAAGGAACCATTATGTTATCACATAAGATGCTCAGTATTACGAATGAAAGAACACAGCAACAAAATACTGGAGAATCACAACTAAAATGATTAATCTCTCAAGAACATAATTTACAAAGTATTGTAATAAAATTGATACAACTAAAAATATTTGTCAACAAATAAACAAATGGATGAATACCTGCTGTTGCAAAGCTTCTTGGTAAGACTGAAGAGACTGTTTTGAAGGCTTTGGTTTATCTTCAAAAATTAATCCTGAATTTACTGCTCGATCACTTGTCACTTTCACTTCGCCAACTGTATTCCTAATCAAATACACAATTAATAAATTGAATCCATTTATGACCAAACAAGAAAAAAATGTAACACTGTTGAACTAGCATGGCACATGGTAATTAAAAATTAGGGAAAGACAACTTCTCAATAGGTCAAAGATAAGGTTTTTTTTCCTTCTCTTCTTGGCCAAACAAGCTGAAAGTTCATCGCAAGGGCAGGAGGATGTAAGTGCTATGGATATGGTACTTGGGCTCTAGGGCACCCCAGCAATGCTCTGGGACCAGTTGCACACAATGCATGTCCCACAATCTCTGCACTACTCTGTACTATCTCTCAGGCCCCTTCTCCCAAGAGAAATTTTATTTTTTTGCTTTTGTTTTTGGTTTGTTTTGGTGGTTTTACACTTAGCTGTATTCAGGGCTTATTTCTACTCTGCACACAGGGGATCATACCTAGAGGTGCTTAGAGAACCAGATGTGGTGTAAAGGAACAAACCTAGATCAGCTGCATGCCAGACAAGTGCCCTCAACTTCGTACTATTTCTCTGGCTGTCAGAGAGAAATTCTTAAGTATAAGATTACTTCACTAAGCTCTCCATATCCACTCTGATTTAGAACTTTGAATTTATTTTCTGAGGCACCCATATTGTTAATGACAGGGTTTCATGCATTTAACCATTCAAAATCACTCCCCATATCTGAGCAAATCAGAGAAAGACAAATGGGACTATCTTAAACTAAGAAGCTTCTGCACCTCAAAAGAAATGTTGATCAGAATACAAAGACAGTCTACAGAATGGGAAAGGATATTCACCAATACCCTTCTGATAAGGGATTAATATCAAGGATATACAAGGCACTGGTTGAATTCTAGAAGAAGAAAACATCCAATCCCATCAGAAAATGGGGCAATGAAATGAACAGAAATTTTCTCAATGAAAAAATCTGAATGGCCAAAAGGCACATGAAAAAATGCTCTTCATCAAAGCTACATGAAAAAAAAATCCCGTTCAAAATTGTGCCCCAGAAAATCAAGTACCTAGGAATCAGCTTAACTAAGGAAGTAAAGGACCTGTACAAAGAAAACTACAAAATACTACTTCAGGAAATAAAAGAGGACATGAGGAAATGGAAAGATATCCCCTGCTCATGGGTCAGGAGACTTAACATTGTCAAAATGGCAATACTATCGAAAGCATTGTGTAAGTTCAATGCAATCCCTATAAGGATACCCATGACATTCTTCAAAGAAATGGAGCAAACACTCCTGAAATTTATATGGAACAATAAGCCCCCACGAATAGCTAAAGCAATTTTTGGGAAAAAGCAAATGGGAGGAATCAACCTCCCTAACTTCAAACTCTACTACAAAGCAGTAATAATTAAAACAGCATGGTACTGGAACAAAGGCAGAACTGCAGACCAATGGAACAGGGTTGAATACACTGACATCTCCCCTCAATCAGATGATCATCTAATCTTTGATAAAGGTGCAAGAAATGTGAAGTGGAGTAAGGAAAGCCTCTTTAACAAATTGTGCTGGCATCACTGGATGGCTACATGCAAAAAAATGGGCTCAGAACTCTGCCTAACACCATGTAAAAAAGAAAGATAAAAATGGATTAAAGACCTCAACATCAGACCAGAAACCATAAGGTACATTGAAGACAAAGTTGGCAAAACCCTCCATAACATTGAAGCTAATGGTATCTTCAAAGATGCCACGCCACTGGCCGAGCAAGTGAAAACAGAGATAGATAAATGGGATTATTTTAAACTAAGAAGCTTCTGCACCTCAAAAGAAACAGTGACCAAAATACAAAGACAGTGTACAGAATGGGAAAGGATATTCACCGAAGACACATCTGACAAGGGGTTGATATCAAGAATATACAAAATACTGGTTGAACTCCACAAGAAGAAAACATCCAACCCCATCCAAAAATGGGGCAATGAAATGAACAGAAACTTTCTCAAAGAAGAAATCAGAATGGCAAAAAAGCACATGAGAAAATGCTCTACATCATTAATCATCAGGGAGATGCAGATCAAAACCACAATGAGATACCATCTCACACCTCAGAGACTGGCCCACATTCAAAAGAACAAAAGCAACCGGTGCTGGTACAGATGTGGCGAGAAAGGGACACTCCTTCACTGTTGGTGGGAATGTCGACTGGTTCAGCCCTTCTGGAAAACAGTATGGACGATTCTCAAAAAATTAGAAATTGAGCTCCCATTTGACCCAGCAATACCACTCCTGGGAATATTTCCCAGAGAGGCAAAAATGTATAGTCGAAGTGACATCTGCACTTGTTTGTTCATTGCAGCACTCTTTACAATAGCCAGAAACTAGAAGAAACCTGAATGCCCAAGTACAGATGACTGGTTAAAGAAACTTTGGTACATCTACACAATGGTGTACTATGTAGCTGTTAGAAAAGATGAAGTCATGAAATTTACATACAAGTGGTACAACATGGAAAGTATCATGCTAAGCGAAATGAGTCAGAAAGAGAGGGATAGACATAGAAAGATTGCATTCATCTAGGGATATAAAGTAACAAAATAGGAGATTAATACCCAAGAATAGCTGAGATCAGCACCAGGAGGATTACTCCATAGCTTAGAGGCCAGCTGGGCATTCTAGGGAAAAGGGCAGCTCAGATAGAGAAGGGAGCACCAAATAAAGGGTGTTTGGAGGATCCTCCCAGGAGGGGAGATGCATGTTGAAAGTAGACTATGGACTGAACATGTTTGCCACTCAATGCCTCTTTTGCAGACCACAACACCCAAAAGGAGAGAGAGAACACAAGGGATTGCCCTGCCACAGAGGCAGGGTGGGATGGGGGGGGTGGGGGTGGGAGGGATATTAATCATGGTGGTGGAAAATGGGCACTGATAGAGGGATGGGTATTTGATCATTGTATAATTGAAACCCAAGCACAAAATATTGTAAATCTACAACTGTACCTCATGGTGTTTCAATAATAATAAAATTTGGTGGTGATACTAAATAAAACAGCAATTTTTAATGCAAAAAGAATGCTCTTCATCACTGATCATCAAGAAGATGTAGATCAAAACAAGAGTGAAATATCAGCTCACGCCACAGAGACTGGCACACATCCAAAAAACAAGGCAACCGGTGTGGCTTAAATGTGAGGAGAAGGGGACCCTCCTTCACTGCTGGTGGGAATTCTGACTGGTTCAGCCTTTTTGGAAAACAATATGGATCACTTGATCACTTGATCCCGTTATTCATTGATTTACTCGAGCGGGTGCCAGTAACGTCTCCATTCATCCCTTTTGCGTGCTAGCGTAGTCCAATGGCATCTGTTCGTTCTAGGAACATGCATAGCCTCAAACCGATCAATCAGGGTCTTGACAAAGAAGTCTGACCATCTTGTAGGTGGGCGTCCACGCGATCTTTTGATGTCCCATGGAATCCAGTCAGTAATGGCTCTAGTCCAGCAGTTGTCTGTAAACTTCATTATGTGTCCAGCCCAACTGATTTTTGATGCCTTGGCAAATGAGTCAGCGTCCCTGATTCTTGAGCGTTGACGGAGATCGGAACTCCGGATTCCATCTCTCATTTGAGTGAATCGTGATATTCCAAGCATAGCTCTTTCGATTCCTCTTTGAGAGACCCGAATAGTGTTCTCATCCTGTTTTCGTAGGGCCCAGGTCTCTGAGGCATATGTTAATGCAGGAAGAACAGTGGAATCGAAGAGATGTGCTCATAGCTGGAGGTTTTTGTCCTCTTAGTTATTTCTTCAATGCTCTTGAAGGCATTCCAAGCCGCTCTCTTCCTCCTGCAACTCAGGTGCCAGGTCATTTATCATGTTGATTTCTCGACCTAGGTATATATAACTGTTGCATTCAGAGATGGTGGTTTCGTTGGGAGCAAATGGAGCGTCAGGAACAAGGGTGTTTCTCATAAACATTGTCTTCGTAAGATTCAGCTGTAGTCCGACCTTTCCACACTCACGGTCGAAGTCGGTCAGTATTTGTGCCGCTTGGCTGATGTTTGGTGTTATTAGAACGATGTCATCAGCAAAGCAGAAGTGGTGTAGTTGCCGACCATCTATCTTCACTGCCATTTCTTTCCATTCCAGTCATCGCATGATGTTCTCGAGGGTGGCACTGAAGAGTTTTGGTGAAATGGTATCACCCTGCCGAACCCCTCTCTTGACATGGATGATTACTTCTTTGTAGAATGATGAGATCCTGGTAGTGAATCCGTAATAGAGCTCACAGAGGATCCTGATGTATTGAGTTTGTACGCCCTAATTGGCTAGGGCTTCTATGACCGCTTCCGTCTCAACAGAATCAAAGGCCTTCTTTAAATCAATGAACGTTAGACAGAGCAGCATCTTGAACTCCTGAGAAACCTCAATGAGCTTAGTAATCATGTGGATATGGTCGATGGTACTGAATCCTTTTCAGAACCCGGCTTGTTCACATGGTTGTCCTTCATCTAGTGTTCTGCTAATCCTATTCAGGATGATTTGAGTGAACAGTTTGTAGATGACAGACAATAGGCAGATTGGGCGATAGTTGCCAATGTCGTGGATGTCTCCCTTCTTGTATAGTAGTACAGTCTTGCTGGTTTTCCATTGGGATGGAACCTTGCATTTAGACAGGTAGCGTGTGAAGAGCCGAGACAGTGTATTGATGAGTACTGATGGTAAGTTCTTCAGGTGTACAGGTCTGATCTTGTCTGGGCCAGGTGCTCTTTGTTTTTTTACCGACGAGATGGCGTGTTGAATTTCAGAAGGGAGAACATTGGGAACGATATATCCATATGGATATATCAATGTGTCATATAACAATATGGATATTTCTCAAAAAACTAGAAATTGAGCTCCCACTTGACCCAGCAATACCACTTCTAGGAATATAACCTGGAGATGCCAAAAAATACAGTAGAAATGACATCTGTACTTGTACTTTTATTGCAGCACTATTTACAATAGCCAGAATCTGGGGAAAAAATCCAAGTGCCCAAGAACAGATGACTGGTTAAA